AAAATTTTGGAACAAACTGGCGTTGACCACATTTCTGAGAATACGTTTAGCTAACGAAAAATAAAAAAGGAAGACAATTTTTTGAAGTTGGTAATCTGAAACTGCAATAACCCTTTTCAGTTTTGTTTATTAATTCCAAACATCGGTCTACCTCAGAAACAAACTGACACCTTCGCCATTTTCTTCGAAATTGTCTTTAGCCACTTTTGGCCGTTGGCCATTCGCGTTTGTTTAGGTACGCTTCGCCCAGGATCATCTTGGTTACATATGCTCACCCCAGAACATACAACGATTCATGGAACACTATGACTGCATTATGGAGCAAGAGGCTCTGAGGAAGGGTAATTGTCGGCGACACATAATGGGAGAGGCAGTCCCCGGAAAGGATGAAGTAAGTGAACTGGGACAACCTGTGAAATCAAAGTATTTTACTACTTTGTGAAAGCCCATCTATGTTGCAAATATCACTTGTTGTTTTACTGTCCACATTTAAAAAATTCCAGCATAAATGTCGTGGCGTGAAGTTGTATCGCGCCTGTCTCGCTCCTTTTTTGAAAAAGGACTGCGCCCCAGGTGCCTTAGGAGAATTCGATGCCAGTGTTCGTCAATTTGGTTGCATAGTCGAATAGACAGACCCTCCAACCCCTGCCAATTACTACGAAGCGGTGTTGCTGTCTTTTCCTTTGTTTTCGTTGTACATATTAAATTAATTCACTTACTCGCTACAAAGAAAGATTGAGATATCATTTTTTTGAATTCTTTGACGCGGAACTCCAAATTTCGCTGTAACCGTCACAAGCGTGTTATTTATGTGTTATTCATAAAATGAATAATAAACAAGTGAAAAAATAATTCTATGAAGCGGCTTCAGGATTATTTTTGGAAAATAGGTCTAGTATAATCAAAACTAAAACACATTACACATAATCATCGACCAGGGGAGCCTTGCTTGCTTCAGCTTGTTTAACCTTGAAAGAAGAGAGGAGGGCAAATCTTTGAAAAATTTAGTGATATTGCTTATCCTGGTTAATGATAACGGCGTTGGAACAGAGGAACAGAGAAAATGCTGATACGGACTTTTAAGGCATGCGGAAAAAACGGTAAAAACACCCGTAGATTTATCATTGTGAGTGGTAATAGAAACCTTCTGATCAAGCATAGAGTTGCTAAATCGAAGTAGAAAAATCAAACATTTGAGCTCACAGAGCAATCGAACCATGTTAATTTCACTAAGAACTTCATCCGCCAAACTTATGAACTTAACTTTATTACTACTGCTGCAACACAACTTGGCTGAATTCCTTCTATTACACTTGCATCGTGCTGGAGTCACCAAGAGAAATAACCCTTTCGAAATTTCTGCCATCTGTAAGAGCTACCTTTGGCGCTCATTCCCTTTTGCATGTGACACTACTGGTCACCATTACTCTTGCAATTTTATTCTTCTTTGAAACAGTAAATATTACACTGCGCTGTCGAATCGGACTGAAGCTGCAAAAAATAATTTTATTGTCAAGCCCTTACATAATTTTGCGTGTTTTTT